CTTTGAGAAAGATATGAAATAGTTTCCAATTTCTAAATAGAGAAATTAGTTTCTCACTGAATCCATTCATGTATATAGTGTACGTTATATGAAACTTGTGCTTATGATTATCAAATTCAAACAAGCTAAATATTTTGGAATATGCTAAAAGTTTTTACAGATTCCTTGAAAACCGTTTAAATTCCTCTATTTTGATAAACAAATATTAATATTTTTGTATATCAAAAATTCTTGACCATAATTTTTGCCTTCATTTTCTACTAAACCAATTATATTTTCAGAAATAAACTGAATCAAAATTGTTGAAGTAAAATTAGAAATATCCGATTCGAACTAATGCTTTTTATCAATAATTTAATTGATTTCCTTTGGATACTTTAAAACTTTTTTTATAAATAGAATAGAAAATTTTGTTAAAATCCCAAAATAATGAATTAAAAAATAATAATTGTAATGTCATTGAATTTAATATTGAAAATCTATAGAAAAGCCTTAAACGATGTCTGGTAATATACAATAATTTTAACAATAGAATTTTTAATTTTCAATTTTTATAATGTTCTTATAAAGAATTCTTAACATTTCCAATAATAAATTTTATTATTGAAAAACAATAAATTTTATTGTTATAACAGAATACTGAATGTATGTATGTAATAAAAGTTAAAAATATCCTTATAATTATCTATAATGTTGTTTATATTTTATTCCAACACGTCCATACATACATATGTACATATAATCAAGGATGATTTTTAAGGAATTGTTCAAAATGATAATTTTATAATAAAATATAAATAAAAAAAATATTTTCTTTTTTTGTGTTATTATAAGAAATCTTTTATTATTTTTATTACTTCATTTTTAATAAAAATAATGCGATAATGTACACATGGAACAAACAAATTCAAGGTAACTGAAACAATTTGTAAGATTCTTACCGGAAATTGTCCCTTTCTTTTAAACGTTTTCTTTCCTTTTGTATTATATAGATTATTTATACATACAGACATATGTATATGTATGTGGAAACAAAAATAAAAGTAAATTGAAACTTGAAACTCGTAAAATATTCTTATTGAAAAAAAAAAATTTTTTATAAGAAAATATTGATTTCAGATTTTTGATGCGATTTCATTGTTAAAATGAACAAAAGAAGTCCCGATTAATACCACTACCCACACAGGATATATAAATGACATAAAATGAGAGAAAACAACAAAACAAAATATAGAATATTACAAAAGGAAAAGTAGATCGAAATTGCGATAATAATAACCTACTTACATACAGAAAAAAAAAAATAGAGAAAGAAAATTTTCTAGAAAAATATCGAGAGAAAAAAAAAATATCAGGAAATCAAGCCCTTATTATATTTTTCTTTTATTTTTAAAATTGTTAATATACAATTGAAATAATAATAAAATTATACTCGTAATCATAGTGTACAAAATATAACAGTCTTGTATTTTTATTAAAAAATTTCAGCTTCTTTTACGATTAAAGTAGATTTGTATGTGTTATACGTAATTTGATATTATTCTCTCTTGTGGTTTTATGCTTGAGGATTAAGTTCAAATGAAAAATGAAAACTATAACTGAAAATGTATCAATAACTTTATGGATGAAAATTCTTCAAATGGAGTTGACTGATAAAATTTGATCTTTGTTTGAAATCTCGGCATATATTAAAATTACAAACACAATTTCGTATTCTTACTGGTATTGAAATTGTGTATGATACTTTTATAAATATACTAATATGTTATTACTATATGTATATGCAAATATTGTAAATATGTATGTAATGTATATTGGGAGCTACTAAACTTCTGATGAAATTTATTGGGATTCTTACACAGATTTTTCAAGAACATAATATTGGTATTACAGTTAATATTTTATGAAGCAAATTGTTTTTATAAGTACTGTCAAAGCAGTAAATTGTAAGAAGCTTCTTGGAAATATATAACAAGAATATTATGATGGTCTATTCAAACGTCATAGAGGTCAATATTATTTTAGAATTTCTGGCTGCCCTTTGACATCAATTTTACCCTATTTCTGGAAGATTTAACCATGCCCATGTTTTAATATTTCACCCCCATTTTTCAATTTCTCTATTAAATTTTTATTATATTCCTGTTTGCTTTAATGGCATTCTCAGTCAGAACATTGAGTAATGCTCAAACACAATGGTCAAATTAAAAAAATGGTTCACGTTGGTGTTCATATAGAATTGTCACTAATAATTTGAGTTAAAAGATAATCTACTATCATAAGATTTAGAATAAAAATTTAAATTTTATTGCGGTAATATTCTAAAACTATTTTTTTTTCAATTGAATATTAAATATTTTTTTTTTTTAATTTTAAGAAATAATTTTAATTAAATAATCGGAATATCTAAAAGTATGCCAGATCAACGATAATTCTTTCATTAAAAACGTATAGATATTTAAATTACAAGTTATATACAAAAAAAAATTTAATTGGAAAATTATACAAATAGCACGAATATGCCTGGGATCCAGGTGAAAATATCAATTTTAAGTTATCTCTCTTTATTATGCAAAATCTTGAATACAAGAAACTAGATATAAGAAAAATATGTTGTTGTTATATTTTGTTTCTAACAAATTTTGAAATTATATTGCAAATCTACCAGAAAGGGAAAAGATAACTATATGCCTGACAGTCGTCCGTATGTGAGTTTATGTGTCTTTTTATAAAATTTCTATACCATTTAAGAAGAGCGAGGATTTGTTCGAATCTATGTTCTAATTCTAAATATGTTTAATGGCCAAAAAGGTTTTATTTTTAAAAAAATATTAATAATTTTCAATTTTGAGTACATAGTTCAGAATCGAATTTTGTAACTTGATTTCATAATTCAGCAGATATTAAATCCCCAGAGGCGCAAAATTCTCATTTTTTGTAGTATATTTCCTCTTTTGATATAAGAAATAAAACGCCAAAGTATAATCGTTCATTTAAATAAAAATAACAATCATCGGGCACTGCATTTCGTAAGACGTCTCTGCTCTGAATTTAATTCTTTTATAAAGGGTTTTATTATACAAATCATGGGTTTAATCTGTTACATATTTTGGAATAAATAGCTGCACTTTTTGTTTTTACTGTACAAAATGCCACTTATACACAGTTTATATGTTATTTTGTAAAAAAAGAAGCTTAGAACGTCGCTCTTTCGGCAAATCATGAAAACTCCTTGTTAAAATTAAGCATTCAGGAATTCAATACTTTCATAATATTTGTGATTTTTTTCACAATTGCCATAATTATTTTATTATTCAGCCATTATATTCAGCTTTAAAAAGAAGAAATTACAGGTGGAGACGATTGCGAAAATGATGTAATCATACGAGATTCTAAAAAAATATCCAAATCTGCTTAAGTGTAACACAAACTATTGTTGAAACTAAGTCACTTTTTATAAGCACTTTATATATTTACAAAACAAAATTGACACGAACCCCAACTATTCTTGTTTTTTTTTCTATATAGTAAGAACATTTTCTATCAAAATAAAGTATTTGTATAACATCTATTAAAATCAAGGTACGCCACCCACATTTATTATATTTAAAATGTAGTAAATTCGTTTCAATATTTAGGTAGATCGATAACAATAGTTAATAAATTTACAAAGCGCAACTTAATTTTTGCACGTTGTTGTTTAATTTTTTGGTATACTCGTACAAATCAATTTTTGGTTTCATGAAAAGCTTATATTAAAATTAAATTTTCAGATTAAGAAAAAACAAACCATTTAAGAAATGTTCTTTGTATTCCTACATGTTATATTATTGTACACATATTATGCAAATAACTGTTATATCTTTAGTATGGTTAAAATTTATTATGAATTTTGTTATACAATATTGTAAATGCTGTATGGTTTCTATTGAAAAAAATTCAAAATTATCTTAAAGATTGTAAACAATCAGAACATTTTCAATTCAATTAATTCTTATAAAAATATAAAAATTAAATACAAAATAAATATTGCATATTCTGAATAAATATTTTCATCAGTTAATTTAAGAATCAAATCATTCAGTTATACATTGAAACACAATTCTACGAATTTTAAATTGAATTGAAGGTGTTTACTTTAACAAACATTATTAAGTATGGATATATGCTTTAATCCTTTTGGGTAAAAATTGAATAAAAAAATAAATAAACATAATATAGGAAAATATGAGTATTAATGTGTGAAAATATATATATGTATATATATACGCATATATGTTGAGGTGATAAATTTTTTTCTTTTCGGAAAACAAAAAATTCATTTAATATTAAACTCCAAACAATTTGTTTTCATTTTGAATAATAATGTGTACAAATATTAATTATATTATGTACAATAAATTAATATAAATATTATTGATATAAAATAAAAGAAATACAAATATTTTGTGTAATTTATTTATAAAATAAAATTTTAAATAAATTGAAAATAACAAGATCTTGTTTTAAAATTTTCCACGAAAATATTGTTAAAAATTAATAAAACAAATACAATTTCTTATACATATATAATAATAATAATATTATATAATTAAATATTTTATTTAATATTCATTAAAAATTTTATTCGAAACCAAAAAATTATAACCTTCAAGTTAATTACATTGAATGCAAACCTTAACAATTTATAAAGGACTCTTTTTTTCATATTTTATTTACTCATATTTTTTGTTTGCTTATATTTTTTTTGAAAATTTTCCCTTTTTTTAAGTGAATAATATTCATTAATTAAATGAGAAATTATTCATGAATCCTGTTATTTTTTTTTTTTGCACAATTCTACAGTATATTACGTCCGTAATGTTTTATTTCGAATTATTAATAAAATGAATTAATTATGAAATGTAAGAATTTTAAATTGTATAACACGAAAATTTATAATGTGGTTAAAAATTTTTTTTTTTTTGTAATATTTTATAATAAAAATTATTATTTCATACCGACAATTAAGATCGATGAAAGCGATACTGGTATAGGTTCATCCTCATATTCGAAACCAATATTATTACTGTCATCTACCCCGCCACCATCATCCTCTAAACTTGAATCTCTAAAAATTGGCCAAGATGTCTCATTATAATATGATGTAACCTGAAATTTAATTAAATTTAATTAATAATTTTTTAATTTCTTTTATATTCTGTATTTAAAATTAATAAATTTCAAATAAACAATAATTTTAAAAAATTGCATATTTTTAGGTGCAAAATGCAATTTTAACGATATCCTTAAATTATCACAAGAGAATGATTTTTTGTCGTTTCGTTTTCATAAAACATTTTAGAGAGTTAGAAGAATAAGAATTCTTTTACGATATATAGGAATAAATGCAAGGATAAGCACAAATAAAATAAAAGAATATTTATTTTACTCAACGCATCGGTAACGATTCTTAAATGAAAATTTTTAATTTCTAATACAATAGCAAAACCATTTTTTTTCTTCTAAGATTAAAATTTCAAATTAAGAAAAATTTTCCAAGAATTTTAAGTATGCATATGTTAAAAATGGAATCAGAAATTTATTACACCTTTTGAAAATATTCGGTGATGAAAATACAATGAGCTTAATCTTTATGAATTAAAAATCAATTAGCGTATTTATTGGTTTTATAAATGAACAATATTACAAATAATTCATATTGTTTTATATTTCATTTACAGTACTATGGAATCAATTGAGTAATCAATAGCAGAAATTTGTAAATTTTCAAAAGGAATTCATAGGATTTTGTTTTATTTTATACACAATTGTTTTGTTGCACTGAACTGAAAAATAATATTTCGATTTTTATAACAATAGAAATTGTTACATTATTTTTTAACTATTGTTCTTTATTGAAATCATGATAAATGAAATAATGATAACAGAAAGAAAATGAATTTACTTTTTAAGGTATTTCTGAAAATTAACTGACAAGGAAGAATTATTGTCTTTCCTCTTTATTTTTACACTTAAGAAACGAAATGTAGGATTTATGATAAGTTTTGTGTATAATAATTTCTGAAATATTAATTGTTTGAAGAATTTATTGGTTATAGATTATTTACAATTTTTGCAAATACTTATTTTACGGTCCCATACTGTTCAGTTGAGTTTATCAAATATTCAAATAGCGCTTATAATTATTAAGTTTTATTATTCGATTTGAGTTTGTCTGTCTGTCTCGGTGATCACTCAAAAATGCGAATTCACACAAATTATTTATGGTAGTTACGGCAAAAATCCTATGTATTCTGCATGGAGCAAAAATAATTTAGTAATAATTTAGGAACTGTAATGCACAAAGTTACTCAATTTTGCTTAAGCAAGTTTGTTAATAATTTGAACCTATAATTTTACGTAATTTTGTTATATTTGTACAAGTCCTCATAATAGATGTTATGTAACTAGAAAAATAATTTTGCCATCATATATCTTAGAAACTATATAGACTAGTATATACTTTGTATTTTCCTGCTTGTGGTATACAATGAGAAGATACAAGTATAATTGGAATTAAGCAAAATATTTGTTTTTGTCAAAAACCCTAGGTCACATATCTTGTGTATAACCACTTGTATTGTTCAAAGCAAATGTGCTTTTTTGTAAACTATTTTTCTTCTCCAACCACATTTTGCACACATTTACTATTTGTATAAAGATAATTATTATCGCGTTCAAGACCTTTTAAATGAAAGCCTATCCTAACATGGCAATATGAAGTCACACTACTTATAAAGTTTATGACATTTAACCTTTGCGTACTTTTGATATAAAAATTTAATGATTAAATTTTTTTTTGGCGTATCTTTCCATTTTAAAATAAACATTTTATGTTTAGACCTTTGCCTCACCTATATGTATATATATAATTAACTTCAAAGTTCTTTCATTTAAATTAAGTTCATTTTTCTTGGCGTATTCATTGAATTAGCGTTTTAAGAATATAGTTACAACTACATCCCTATAAATTTCAGTTTTTTGATTTTTCTTATTCTTAAATCGAAAAAATCTGTTTTCAGCAATAATCCTCACTGTTACTGCGTGTATATCACACAATCCCACCTGTAATTATTTTACAGGTAATATGTAAATGTAAGTGTAAAATGTAAACATATAAATTATTGAATTTCTGTACATACATACATTCATATCTTGCACACATGCCCATATTATGTTGCAAATAAATATTTTTATTTCAAAAGTGATTTAAATCTGGTACAACTGAAAAAGAAAAACTGGAAAAGGTTCTTTTAATCTAAAATTAGATTAATTTATTTTCTTTTTAAATTTTTTTTTTATTTCTCTTTTGATAGTTTATGTATGTCGCAATTATAAAAGAAATGTGCTCTAAGTTTTTCTTAGTCCATATTTTTCTTCATTTTTAAATGTTATGCTTCTTTAAGTGTTTCTGAAGGGAATCATGACGAAAGTGTTTTTTAATTTTAAATTTGAAGTTGGCATACTGGCACGATAAATTTAATAAACATTTTATGTCAGATGAGCTGCTTAGGCCAAGCATCAGATGTCATGCAAATTAATATTGCATAAAATAGTCAAACAAAGCACATTTTAAATTTCTGTATTTTCAACAATAATGTCACAAAACATGTCTAAATGGCGACGAATAATAGAAAATCTGTACAATTTACCCCAACATTTTAATACACGTTTTATGATATAATTACTTTTGCATCGAATTCACATCATGCCTATTTATTGTACACTACACATCAATAACCAATTGTCCTTCTAGTTTGAATCATATAGCGTGGCAAAATATTAAAGATTAACTATCTATGTGGGTAGTGGCGTTTTTGCAATCACATACATTTACAAATTCTGATTAATGATTTAAATTGCATAAGAGAGAAATGATAACAATTTTAGTACAATATGGAATTGTTTTTAATCTCAAACGACTTCTTTGGTTTTCCTTTAGGTGTATTTTTGAATATAATCTGATCTTTTTAATATATAATGTACTTAATGTAAAAATATGTTCATGCCGCTTTTTATTTTTAGTTTTAATGGTAAGAGACAAATAAAAAAAAAAAAGGAAACGGAATTTAAAGAAAAAAAAAAGTTGTATCAAATCAATGGTTTGTAAAGAAGCACTTTTCCTTTTAACAAGACAAGATACTGCTTTTAAAAACAATTTAGCTATATGTGCTACACTATTAGAATTAATTTCATTCATATGTTGAAATATATCAAAAATTGCATACATTTGCGATGAGCATGCAATTTCTGAGAAAAAAATTGAAAGAAGTTTTAAGGGTTATTGCGTCAATTAAAAATAATTATATTTTTTAATGGCATGGCAGCAGCAAACTTTCTGCATTTATAGAAATTTGGAAAAAGTTTGCTGTCCTGGTAATATAAGGCGCCAAAAATTCAAATTTTCTAAATTTCATGAGGTGAAAATATGGGAAGGGCCGGAGGTGGAAAAAAATTTATAATGAAACAATCAATTTTCTAATATATAAAAGCTGTGCTAAAATTTTAGACTATTACAATTTACGGTATGGAAGAATAACGATATCAAAAATTCGAAAAAAAAACGTGTTTTAGATAACTGTTAATTATTAGCAGCCATTTTGCTTTTTCAATTATTTAATATTGTATCGTGGTAGAAAAACCCCAACTCTACTTTTCTGTGTTAACAAAATTTCAAAAATGAATATAGTTCCTTTAAAAATAGTATTCAAAAATTTGTATTTTAAGGCCTTTGACAGGCTATAACTTTTAGAATGAGGTAAATAGGTAAAAATTTTCTACCATATTAATAAGTTTCTAGTAGCAATCTATGTACATATTTAATTTCAGCTTTCTATCTTCAAGATTGTAAAAGTTTTCTAAACGGGTCGATGGACGTCCGGACGAACAAAGTGAAACTAATAAGCATTTTTTTTTTAATTTTTTTGGAAAAGTGCTATAAAAAAACGGAATTTAAAAAAAACAAGACATATGAAAAAGATTCAAATCTTAAAGAAAACTTTTGCCTTTCTACCATAGCACACAAGAATCATATAGAACACATTTATACACACATATTCTTTACATATATACCTTAAAGCATTATAGTTAAAAGGATATTGTTTATTTTTTTTGATGATTTTATTCTTTTTGATTTTTTTTTTTCTTTTGAAAAGTTTTAACCTATAAAAGGACTCATTATAATCAGAACACACAGAATCCATATAGGTTCCAGGCTGAAAGAAATTGAAATTTTTCTCTTTTTATTTTCATTTAAAATTCTCAAAAAAATTTTTTTAAACTTCGTACCTACCTACCTACCTACGTACACAACAGCTTTAAACTTATTCCGTATAAAAAGGAATGAAAAAAATCAATATTTTAAAGCGAAAGTAGATTGTGCAGAAAATTTAAGAGTATAGTTTAGAAAAAGTTTTTGCCCCAAAAGAATTCTTTCCCTTTTATTATTATTGTATTTTTCTTTTGGAGTGCGTGTAGGAAAAACGATAACTTTTAAACGAGTTTATTAATAATAAAATATACCGTTACTACTTATTTGTATTTTTAAAAAACTTTCATTTTATTTTTTCTATATGATTTTTGTTTTTGTTTTCTCTATTTTAAAATAATGATATCTTAAGGGTAAATCTTTCCTATCAAGAAAACTTTTTTTTTTTTTCCAAAACTTTCTCAATACTTAAGTGAAAATTTTCTATTTTTGAAATGGAAAAAAGATAATAGAAATATAAAAGGAAAACAAAAAGCATAAATTATGATGAAAATTAACCAAAACCTTTTTATAGAAAATCCTTTTTAAATTTGCCACAGTCATTGCTTAAAAGGAAGGCTTTCATTACAATATTAAATAATATATTTTAATATCTTGTATCTCTCTCCTTCAGGATATTTGAATGTTTTTGTTATCTTATGCCCATTTTAAAGGATACTTAAAATTTCTTTTACAACAAAATACTATGCGATTGTGGTTTTGTTTTCTTTATTTTTGCCAAAAGTCCCAAACAAAAACATAAAAACAAAATAATTTAAATTGAAAAATGAAAGGGGTGAACGACAGTCACTTGATGAAATGTCACTTGATATTATAATCAGAATGAATCTTAAAAAACTTT